GGACATTATGAATAAAGCACCACCTAAGTCAGAACTTTTGAGACAGAACAGTTTTACTTGGACATTTCTGAGTTCCTGCTATGAAATCAACTGGGTAAGATTTGGATATGAATGAAGATTGCTGTAAAAGAAATCTTTATATTATGACTAGAAAGGGTATCAGTATGAATGGAATTTATTCTCAGATTTAGACTGGAGAACAAATGCTAATAATAGGAGGAGGAAGCCCTCATTCAAAATTATAGCTGACAGACTTTTTCCTAAGATGAATAAATGGCAAAAAGAATACAAGTATAGTTTTATCCACTAGGGAATATACTGCAGGAGAGCTAATAGGAAAACTTGGATATGACTTGGAGTTAATTCTATTTAAATCACTCAGAAACATAAATGGAATATGTTTGCAAGTAAGATTCACAATTCTAAAATAGAAAACTTTGATATGCTATTGAACCTAGGTGGTCCATTGAACTGGCTAGTCCAATAACCACAGTTTTCTGAAATCCATTTTAAAAAATAACTGTCAAAATATCTGAAATGTAAAGCAAGGCAATGAAAAAAACTCTCAGAAACTCCATAACTAATAGAATAATTGCCTCAAAGGGAGAGTCCATAAAGCAGTAACTGTACCTTACATACCCAGTCTCCACAATTTACCTACAGTCAATCAGCAAGCTAGGATTCTATATAGCAGTCAGCAGCTAGACCTGGACCAAACCTAAGTCACTTCCTGCTCTTGAGGTCTTGTGTTTAGCATATTTGGGCCTTCCTTTGTTAATCTGAAAGTACCTTTTGTCATAAAGTGCTATGCTTTGAAGCCTGTCCCTGGTTTTGAAGGATAACTCATTTTTGTTGAAATCTGTTTCTCCACCTTTGGCATTGGAAACACCATGTTCTCAGAAGGGACCAGCTCAGACTAGTTTCAAAACAAGTGCACCTTGACTGGTTGGAATATAATTAGTATCTTAAGCATTCCCAAGGATTACATTCAAAGCTTTGGCATTACTCACAGCAATTAAGTTGCACCAAGTAAGTCTCATAGTTTTAGCTTTAACACTCAATAAGTGATTTAAAAACACATGTATTTTACATTGTCCTGGCTTTCCATATGGCCAGATATACATAAAGCACAACATTTTAGTGCAAACAAAAGCTTTTAAAAAAATCAGTATGCCAAACGTAACGTTCAAAGAATTTCTTTTTTCCAAATGAACCGAGATACAGTAACTCAACATTCACTTTTAATGAAGCCCCATTGCACCGTGACAAATGTGCAGCCTACAGTATCTTAAATGAATCATAATATGGCTTACATCTTTAATGCCTGATCACAGAGCCCCAGGAGTTCAAAGAGCCCTTACTAAAACCATCAGTGGAAACGCTGGTTGCACAAGGCACTGAAGTACCTGCTTTGTAGCCAGAAGTAATTACGCTGCTCTGCTAATCTCTGCTGCAGAAACTCAATCTAGCAGACAGAGATCACATCTAGCAGATAAGGGCTCCATGCAAGGCACAGAGGCTGCTGCTTTTCTTGAAAACACGCACAGCATTTTTGTGTGATGGCGCAACATATATGCATAACACCCCTTGGAATAAAAATTGTCAGTGCTGGGAATACATACTGATGAGAAGGAATAACTCTACTTCCTTCCTTCCTCTGCTTGAGAGACTGCAAATCTACACCTTGAGATCAGGCCACATCTATGAGGTCCCTGACTTTTACAAGCACAGGAACCTCAGGTGTAAGAATCCATTATTATGAGGCTGAGCACACAGTTGTCTCTGTGGATCTCCCTTTTATTCCCCACTCTTCTTAAAATAATGATGGAACGAGACAGGATCTTGAACCTTCAGCTGAACTATACAATACATCTCACTTAAAAGGCTATGAGGTAATGGTGTTGAGCTATAGCAAAGCAGTAGGAAATATTTCAGGCAGATAGCATTCATGACTGATAACCATGGGACACAGATTTAAACCTGGAAGCACGCACGGAGCTCGTGTTTCCAGACTTTCACAGCACTAGATCAAAGTAAACAAGTGCAACCTGCACCTCCACATAAAATAAATGACACTGTAGAGTTCAAACAATGGCACAAGGTCTTACTGAAATGACTGCTATCTGCCTTCAAACCAGAAAGGAACAAAAGCACAGGCAAGAGGGAAAAAATAGGAAAAAATATAACACAGAATTATGTACCTTAGTTTTTCTCATATCCTCAAACAGCCAAACTACTTGTTACAGTTTACCCAAGTGACTCCAAGCCTGAGCTAGAAAGCTTACATTTTATTCAGGTGGTTACTGTCTGGCACACACAGCAGCCTCAAAACATAGAAGTTGCTGCCAGCAAAGTCAGGAGGAAAATTGTCAGTCTTTGTATGACCACCAAAAACAAAAAAAAAATGCACACGCCAATATAAATTATACAAAACCTCAAATTGCAAGTGTGGAAAGTAATTTTGGAACATCAGGATGAAACAGCTGGAAGAATTTCACAGCTCCCTTTTGAATTTTTCATTATGGTCATACATTTTACCTTCTTGTCTCTGGGTATACGTTTGCTTTTTGACCAAAATAACAATTGTGCATGTTAGCAAGGTGAAAAGTTTCCAGTCTCTCCCAGACACTCATATTCACAAGGGTACTTGGTCCTCATTAATTTAAACCTCTAATCACCTATAGAAAAAACAATTCAGAATACCTAGCATCCTAAGTGCCCAGATACAATAAGGAGTAATTATAGTACAGCATAAAATGCTTAACATTTATTCTGTGCTGTGCACACTAAGGTTTGCTTGCAATCCTTCCAACATGAAGTTCTTTTACCCAGTGCAGTTCATCCACTGGCTCACATCTGCATTAACGACACCAAAGCCATACTGCAGGAATATTTGTGCATATGAAAAACAGCAAAAACCTTTTTCTGTCAATGCCCTCACGTACAGGATAAGCACTTCCATCACTGTTACCACCTGTATTAGCTAGACTCAAGGGACCATAAGACAAACAGAGTCTGCTAGCTAAAATAAAACTTACACATGTTTCAACAACATGGAAATAAGGATTTTTTTCTTATGGATAATTAATTGCAGCATATTCCTGCCTAATGGAACATTGCTGGAATAACTACAGGAGTCGATTTACTATTTATTAGAAAAAAAAATACCTAATGATACTACTAAATGTATCATTTAAACACATTGCTAGGAAAAAATATCAAGTGAGAATATTTCAAAACCCTTCCTTTTTCATGTCTGAGCACAGTGCCATTCTACAGCATAAGAGGTTTTACTTTTTAAGACTCAATCTAATTCTTCAAAACTAAAATTCTGAACACTGCAGTAGTGCAACAGACATAATGCTGCATTAAGAGCTGTAATGCATCAAACACTTCACCTATCCCACTGCCCATCCAACCTGCTCCAAAGTGCTACTGTTACATAAGGATCCCGGGCAATCCCCTCAGTTTATATGCTAACGCTGTTAGGGAAAGAATATTCTCTATTTTAGTGTGAGTCTTTTGCAAGGACTAAAGGCATTTCACTGCCTTTCCTCTGTCATCCAAACTGGACTGACATTATTGCATGTAAGGTTCAGGTACTCCATATATTCTAACAACATTATATCATATGTAACACAGAAATTAAACCACATTCTCAGGAAACAGAAAACAACAGCTACTTTGAAGCTAAAGGTACTTTTAAATGCTAACCTTAAGGGACATCACAATCTATACTTCCAAACAGGAACATAAGGTAAAAAACTCATGCTATTGCCAAACAGAAGACAGAAAAATCAGATTATCTACTTTGGGTTTACCACCTTTTTGTTTCAATGGACAGTCTTAGGTCCTGTCAATTTGTTACAAGTGACTTCAAAATGACAAGGGGAAGAAGATGGTATTTGTAGAAATAAACAGGAGTTAGAGTTTTTTCCATATTACTAAAAGAGTGCTTAGTGTTCACTTTCTTTGCACAAATTAAAATTCAAATAATCGAAAAAAGCTCAAATGAATACAGCAAAACAATGGTCACTTTTTTACTTTACAGACAGTGTACTTAATTTCTGGTTCCTGCTGCAAATTTACCTTAATACACATCTCCTAATTATAAGAGCCTTCCTTCCCACGTTTCCATATAGGCCTCTGTGGATTGCTCATACAGCCCTCCCTCAGGGGCACAGTAATCCACTGGCACTGCTCCCACTTTTCCCACAAGAACCGAGCTCTCTTCTGGAACAAAACACTCCAGAAACCAAATGAGCAGCGAGGAAGAGCTCGATCCACCTGGCAGCACCTTTGCAGTTACCTGCAAGGCTCAGCAGCCTTTTCCTCGGCCACTTGACTGGGGAGAGGGAGGCAGCAAGGAAGGTTTACGAGAGCACGGAGCCTCCCGAAGGCCGTGTGAGGCAGCCGGGGGCCCCCACCCGGGCACGGGGCCGCGACCGCCCGGCGCCTCCGGAGAGCACGGGGCAGCGCGGGGCGCCTCGGGGCGGCTCCGAGCCCGCCCGGGAGGGCAGGTGGAGCTCTGGGCTGCGGCCCCTCCGCCTCCCGCCCGAGCCCGCACCGAGCCCAGCCGAGCCGAGCCGCCCCTTCCCGAGCCCGCCCGGCCCCGCCGCTCGCGGGAGCCCCCGTGCCCAGGGCCGGAGGCGACGGGCGCGGCCCGGGAGGGGAGGTGTGGGTGTAAGCACAGCAGCGGGGAGAAGCGGGCAGCTCCGCGCGGGCACAGCGGGGGAACGGGGCGGGGGCTCATTTATATCCCGGGAGCTAATTTGGGAAGCGGGATAACCCGCCCCGCACGGCACCTGCCGCCAGCACTCACCCCATCCCGCGGAGAGGCGGCGGCCCCTTTAAGACCGCGGGGGACCCCTCCCTCCGGCCCTCCCGCCCTCCCCCGCCGCGCGCCTCCCGGGCCGCCAATCGGCGGCGGCGACGCAGCCAGGGCTGCGGGCAGCCAATCCGCGCGCCGCTTGGTGACCGCAGGGGAGGCGAGCGGCAAGATGGCGGCGCCGGGAGAGGCAGCGGCCGTGGCGGCTCCCTCGCAGCCCGAGGTGGCCGCGGGCTCGGCCGCCTCCGCCGTGGTGCTGCCGGAGCGGCTGCAGCGGCGGGAAGCGGAGCGGCAGCAGGGCGTGGAGCGGCAGCGGCAGAAGAAGGAGGCGCAGGTAGTGAAGGAGGAGCAGAGCGAGTTTTTCCTGGCCGCCTTCGCCCGGGAGCGGGAGGCCGTGGAGGCGCTGCTGGCAGCGGGGACGCTGGAGGAGGCGGCCGCCCGCCTGCAGGCGCTGCAGAAGCTGCTGACAGGCAGCGTGCGGTTCCTGGCGCCCTACGAGGTGCGGCAGGGGCAGGAGACCGTGGCGCGGCTGCAGGGGGACCTGGCGGCGCGGCGGCAGCAGCTGCAGCCCAAGAAGAAATTCGCCTTCCGCGCCCTCAAGAAAGAAGCGGCCCCGGGCAGCGCCCCGCGCCCCGCCGAGCCCGCCCCGCCGGACCCCGCCGCGCCCGAGCCCGGCCCCGGCGTTGCCGAGGGCGAGTCGGGCGGGCCGCCGCTGTGCGGGTTCAGCGGCGCCCAGGACGCGGAGCTGGAGCTCGGCCCCGCGGAGCTGCTGCAGCGGGACGTGCTGCTGGCGGAGCTGCGCGGCTGCCGGGTGCGGCTCCGCGGCAACCCCAACACGCTGCGGGTGCGCGACTGCAGCGGCTGCACCGTGCTCTGCGGGCCCGTGTCCACCTCCGTGCTGGTGGACGGCTGCAGCGACTGCCTGCTGGCGCTGGCCTGCCAGCAGCTCCGCACCCACCGCACCCGCGACTGCCGCGTCTACGTGCAGGTTACCAGCCGCGCCGTGATCGAGGCCTGCTCCGAGGTCTCCTTCGCCCCCTACTCCTGGAGCTACCCCGGGATCGAGCGAGATTTCGAGTCGTCTGGGCTGGACAGAAACAGTAACAACTGGAACCTGGTGGATGACTTTGACTGGCTGGCGACTGACAGGCCCTCGCCCAACTGGAGCCTGATCCCCGAGCAGGAGAGAATCGCTAGCTGGGACTGACTGCGGAGGCAGCTCTGCCGTGCTAGAGATCCTCGTGTAGACGCACTGATCCACAAACTGTGGGACTTAATCCCCGATATGCCATTAAATTATTCCATTCTGTATTCAAATTTCGAATTACAATATATGGCTGGGTTTCTTAGTTGAAGCATACCAGTCGAATAGAGTTTACTGTTCTTGCACAAGTTGCTGCTGTAATCTGTATCTATCACTGTGGGATTTGCCAATTTCTGAAGTACCTCATTGTGAGTTAAAACTTATTAAGGTGGGACTAAGGCCACTGATACACAAACCACAATGAGGCTCTGTTAGAGCTGTCGTGCTGCTTTCATTCACCTAGGCAGATTCTGAAATAGCTGCAAGTAGTGCAAACTGTACTGGAATGAAAAGATCAAATACCAAATTTCCCATGTTGTGTGGCTCTCATGTTCTGATGGCAGCACAGTGTCTCTTGGGGGAGTGCAGGGCAGTGCTGCTGTGAGGTAATGGGGTGAAAAAAGATTCATCTAAAGGGAGAGTTTGTGACTGCACAGTGCAGCAGACTGAGAGGCATCCTAGGCTGTGGTACAACGATGAGCCAGTTTCTGTTGAATTGGTTTAAATCTCTTAGTTGGCTTTAGGCTTTTCTTTCAAGTGAGAGAAGTCTAAAGGAAAAAGGTGTTCCAATAAATATCTAATGCTCTCTAATACACTGATTACTCAAAATTCAGAAACTTACGGAGTCTGTATAAATACTAAAGCTTCACAATCTGTAAATGCCATGTGAAAGGATGCTGCTTCTGTAAGCAGCTGGAGGCATCCAGCAAGTGCTGATGAACATCACAGAAGCTGGGTTAACTGTTCCTCTGCAAGCTGAAGCTTCAGGGCAGAGATGTTCAGGGATGTCCCATTAATTTTCCAGACAACAGGCTTTGTGTGCTGTGATCCTGATTTGCAGCACTCTGCTGCTGCATGTGTGCAGTGCTGGCAGAGAGAGTCAGTGAAACAGAAAGAAGAGGTGCTATATTCCAATTCCAGATTTGCATGTTGCATAAAGTGCAGAATAATTTAAGTCTCTTCACTCCTGCTAAATAGTAATAAAGTAGCAGCACTGGAATGCAATGTCTTTACAGTGCCCTGTTAGTGGTGCTGAAATGACCACTGTCCATACATAAAGTATACATAGCAGTTTTGGTTTCTGAAACCCCTCCTTAACTTGTGACATTTTTCAATAAATAATTGTTTATCTTGCCTTAGCATAAAGCTTTATTGTAAAACTTACAATTCTTTATGCTGTGCAGCCATGATCTATGTGCCTCTAACAGACACTAAATCCTAGCTGAACTATCAAAAACTGCATCACTCACAGGAGAAGTACCTGAAACTTCACTTAGGTGCTTGTCTGGTCTTGAGCAGAAAATGTTTTTCTATAAGTTGTTTTCAGCATATTTAATTTAAAGGGGGAGGGCAAAAGGGATTTTTTTTATATTCCTGACAATTTTCAGTTTTGTTTACTTCTGTTAATGTATATTTTTTGACTGAAATGGATTTTGCATTTCAAATATACTTGTTTTGAATTATTTTAGTTGTTCCTTTACTAGTGAGCCTTCTTTGCACTGACAGCATCATGAAATGATTTAAAGAATACACCCTCAGTCTTACTTTAATGTAATCATTTATATCCTTTGTTACAGGGATGTGATCAGTTGTGGCTGTCAAGTTATTTTAACACATCCATCTTGGTACAGAATCTGATTTTGTAGTTAATTGTTCTCCAGATCAATCCTGTTAGCATCCTCTAGCCTTGAGATTGCAAAATGTTCAGCCTGTAAGAATTACAGTAATGCCTTTGTTCTGCTTGCCCCAAGCTCTGAACATTGACACCTCCTTCCTGTGGTGATGGATCCTGGCAGATCCAGACAGGGAAAGAGACCCCAGGCAGTACCAGGGGTGCACTGAGGCTTCCCAGCCTTCCTCCCATGGAAGTGCCATGTCCTGTTCCAGCTCCTGGCCCGTGGCATGCAGTTCTGCCTGAATAAACAGCAGGAGTCAAAACATGGAAGCTTGAACTTCAGTTTCTCTCTGAAATTACTTCCTTGGGGATGTTTTTCACAAACCAGTTATTGACATCCCAGCTCCTACTGTTTTCTTTGCTCCAAACACTTGACTTTGGTCAAACCACAGTTAGCAGGTAATACTTTTCAGGAACTTGGTGCCAGACAATTACCCTAAAGATTTGGCATTACCTTTGTAATACAGAACACATAACTGGCTCTTGCTCAGGCATGGTGTGAAACAAGGAGATTCAATCTGACAACAGTAAATCCAGAAAAATTTGGTCAGGCAAATACCTAAATGTGATTTATAGTTCTAAGCATACAATCTCATATACACACACACAGAGTTGCACATGTTTCCATACACTTTTTTTGAATTGTACTTTCCTGATGTAGAATCATAACAGAAATTCAAGACTGTTTTGAAACCACAGTCTGTTAATGCTGCATGAGAATTTAAGCACTAGTAAAGGTTTACTAGCATGCTCATGGGCTATTCAGTATAGAAATTGCAACTTTTTTGGGTCTCTAAGGAAGAGAAGGCAAACTCCTAAGTATTTCTAATCAGCTGGCAATCACCCTGCATAATGTACAACTGAAGTGAACAAAGTCTCTTCAAGAACTCTAGCTCTGGTTTGCATCACAGTGCCACCAGTTCCACCAGGAGCTTCTTTAAAAATAATGTACTTTAAAGAAATTAATGATGCTAGACATCACAAGGGGCTGCAAAACAAATGCCTGCTGGAGGCATGGGATAACAGAACATCCGCACCACAAACTTTGTGCAAATTTGCCTTGAAGGCAGAAAGTTTATAAAAATAGTGGGGGGCACTGAGCTGCAGAACCATGTTCCACGAGGAGTCAGGAAAGCAGTCTTGTGTCAAACATTTTTGAAAGACAGCCTAGTTGGACAGGCCTCCTCCAGCCTGTGGCCTCACCAAAATCTTTAAGGCCAGTGAAAGTTCCTTAGCCCACCACAGGGCTGTTACTCAGCATTGTAAAGCTCCTGTGTGTGTCTGTGGGGGGAATAAAACAGTTCTATGTAAACACACACAACGCTGAGCCCTTGGGAGAAAACGGAGGCTGGTTTCACTCAAAACAGAGCTTTGAGTGTTGCCATTGTTGAGGCTCTGAGGGGTGGCACAGACCAAAGCTTGCCTCCAGAGAAGCAGCTGGAGCTTTGCTGCTGCTTCCATGGGGCCATCCCCTCACCCCGAGGTCTGTCCTGAGAGGGATCAACCCCCCTGGATTCCCTTTGGAGTCCAGGCTTTTCCCTCTGTCTGCCCCTGCTTCTCTGAGTATCAGAACAGAAATGGAGTTACTACATTCTCTCTTTAGCCAGCTCTCTTTCATTCAAATAGATTCTGATGTGAGCTGTAGTAGAATTGTTTCGTGAAAAAAAAAAAAAAAAAAACAGGTAAAAAATACACGCATAAGACAATTTCCTACACACTTCTATGCATTATATTTTTGGAGGCTTGTATTTTTTTTTTCCAAGTGTCTTATTTAAGCAATAGCTGCATGTAGACAAGGTTCAAATCTCAGTGATTTTACCTGGAATTGCTTCAGGTTTTACTAAACAGCCAATTTCATCACATACAAGGAAAGACAGGAATAGCAAGAAGAAGAATCTATGCAGCTTAGGGAAATTTCAGCATTTCCATTCACATCATGATCTGATTTATCTGACTGACTGGGGGATCCACCTGTTGTTCTGAGATGTTTTCCAGCAGTAATGACTATAATGAGCTTTTTGTAAGCTTCTTTTAATTCCCAACATATTTCTTTCCTGTTTCTGCAAATACAAATTTTGATTTCTAACTCTTATTTTTTCAGCAGTGAATGCTACACCCCAGGCATCACAATAATATAAGCAAATACTCATAATAACCATCTTGGAGATCAAAAAAAAGCTGTGTTTTCTGAGCACGTTACACACCACCATATGAATGATGGCTGAAATTCTGGGAATTACCCAGAGCAAAACCACACCAAAACCCCCAAGGTGTGCCCCAGCAAAGTGCAGGAGCCACAGAGTACAGCAGGTCATGTCAGTCTTCCCAGGATTTACAGCAGTCCCAGCAGTGAATTTAGAACTTGCCTCTGTTTCCAGCCTCAGAACCTGCAGTCACCTCACATGCCATAAAAATAGTAGCCTACCAAGTTTCCTGTGTAAGGAGGTAAAAAGAAAGTCATAAATCAGACTTTTCTCCCCCTGATAATCGTACAGTGAGGTGCAGCATTTTTATCACATTGTTCCTCGAGAGTGTCCCTGTTCACACCACCGAGTTAGAATTGAAAGCAAAGCCATAGGTGAGGGTACATGAGCAAACCTCTCTACACAATAGCTTCCCATCAAAGGTAAAGCTAGACATCATTATTCCTGCAGTGAAATATAGCCACTCTTAGGGAAAGGAGAAAAAAAAAGCCTCAGAAAGGCACACATTTCATATCACAGAGCAGTGTGAAAGAAAGATTGGGCCAGGAAATTATTCTTTTTACCAAGGGCACTTCCACAGTTTAGGCATGTATGTATTTTATGTCTTACACCCCTGAAGATGGAAAGACTAAGATTGGTCCAGGGCCGAGCACCAGACTGTTTAACAAACACCAGATTAAATTGTTTATGTTCCTCTCTCTTAACTGATAAATTTGTACCTTATATGTAGGTTAGCAGGCATAGCTTTTTGAAAAGGTATCAATATTGTATTGGTCTACATACATATTATAATTTTTAACTAGATTTTGAATTTGAACAGATTCATGGTGAGATCAATAAAAATTTGAATATTTTATTCTACCATTTTTTCTCCAATATTGGCATATGAATTATACAGTTGAATGTAATAGACAACCTCTGAGGAGACCATTAACTCAAACATTCTTGCAGCAATTAGCTTTTATCTGCTATGGATCAATTTCAGCTTACTCTATTTGAAGAGGTAGTAAGTGCCAAACTAAAGACGAATAGCAGCCAAGAAAGAGCTTTTTAAGAAAAGCAGATGCCAGGCAAAAAAAGCTTTCTTTTTTAAACTATCCCCACCCCAAAACGCTTCTCGATGATCTCCCATCACCTTCCTCTCCTCCAGGCTGCTCTGCCAGAGACAGCCCTTGGCTGCCCGGTTTGGGCCGATGCTTGCACAGGGGTTTGCCTGCTCCAGGCCTGGGACAATATGGAATCATTCATTCCCGCTTTAAAAGTGTTACCCAATCCCTTTTAAAACCCCCAAGCAGGGCAAGTCAAGTTGATAGGTGGGGTAGTTTTTGCCACTTGAAGTCCCCAGCTGTTGAGAACTACTTAAATAAACAGTGCTTTTCCTGATCCACATTGTTCTGGTGGTGCTGATTGCTGTCCCTGATGATTTTAGAGAGACCACCCGAAGTCTCAAAGGTCTAATTACTAGGTGAGTGTCCCTTCCTGAACATCAGGTCCATGATTTTTCCTGATCATCTCCCAACTAACAATTTAGCAGTGATTTATGAGGACCTCTCCTGTTTCCTTTGTTTATAGGCAGAAAAGTCAATCTGGAGGGATCAGTGAGCCCTGGAGCATGTCCTGCATGTTCTACTTCACTACTTTGATTCCTGAATTACAGGAAACACCGTAGTGTATACACTTCCATGATTTTGCTGCATCAGATTTATCATGGGTATCTAAATGTTAAATTATTAAGCTGACAGTTATTCAGATTCACCTGTGCTCCTGAATACAAAATTACCCATATCCAGAGCAGCACCAGGCTTTCATCTGCTGTGGGCAGAAAGTATTTCACTGTATATCCACATGACCTGCAGACCTGGTGCAGAATTCTTTTCCACTTTAATTACAGTTTCACTGTCATCACTGACAAGAAAGGAAATGGTTTCAAGTTCCTTTATCTAGAATTAACTCCAGGCTGTCAGATAAATACATTTTCCAAACTCAAGTCTCTTAGCTGAGCCCCGAAAGAGTCAGTGAAACACAACATGTGCTACAATGGTTGTGTAATATTTTGCCAGGAGAGATGCTATTTCAGAGCCATTTCTTATTGCACAAAAACATGAATAGGCTCTCTCAAGAAACAGCACTTCTCATCCTCTTCACGGCAAGAGGAGAGAATAGTCCCTGATGGATAATCACCTTCCCTCTCATTTTAGACACTCTTCACCAGCGAAGGCAGCAGCAATGCGAACCACCAGGCTTGCTTTAGAAAAATCCCAGTGACCAGCTGCTCTCCAGCTCGGTGCAATAGTGCCAGGATGGGCTGGGAAGGTCCACCACAAACACCTTCTCTTAGGACAGGAAGAAATTGTGAGTTGCCAGCCTTTGTCCTTCCTGAAGGAACCCTCAGCGTTCCAGGATCTCAAATGGTAACTGAGAAGCATCCACGGTACCGCAGAGCTGCAGACCATCAAAACGTTATTTTTTTCAGTGCTTGGGCTTTTTAATTATTTATGTTATTATAATTTCTCACACTTGGCGCCACCCTGGCACACTCCTTCCCCTGGGTGTCCCCGGGGGCTGGTGGCCATGCTGCTGGCAGCCGCTAGAGGATGCCCCCAGGGACTCAGGTGGTGACAGCAGGTCCGGTTGGCAGGCAGGAGAGAATCCTCCCAGTCCTGCCCTCACACACCTGCAGGGATATTTTCCATTGCTGGGGGTAGCCTGAGGTTAATTTTGCGTTGTGATGACAGGGGCGAGGCAGTGCAGGAGTTTCCCAGCAGCTCCAAACCCTTGTGTGGCGAGTGGGAGATGATGTTTCAAAGCGAGCAGAACTCCTGGAGCAGTGGGGCGGGTGGGAGAAGCCGGGCACCGCCGAGCGCCGCAAGGAGGAGGCGGCAGCCGCAGGAGGGCTCGGACCCTCTCTGTGCCCCCACAGCACAGCCGGCTGCAGATCCCTGTGCAGCGCCGGAATACCCCGGGATGCCTCCCCTGCCCTCAGATAGAGCATCCCCAGGGCCCCTCTCCAGCTGCTGAGGGGGATTCCTCCCTGATGGAAGCTCCCGGGTGGGTCTCCTTGGGCAGCCCTGCTCCCCTCCCCGGCCCGGTGATTATCCAGTAAGCTGCTCATGCCAGCTCACTTTTTATGAAAGCACTTCTAGATTTCAGCCCAGGGTTTATTTGTTGAGGTTCTCTGCACTTTTCCTTTCTCCTGCTCTCCTGCCAAGACCCAGAGATGGTGCAAGCCCTGGAAGTAAATAGAAAATGCCAAGCTTAGTTTTTTTAGGTCACCGTAAACTACGCGCTTATCTCCTTTCAGAATACATAAGCCACAGGATGTCATCTCAAGCCAGCACAGAAGGATAAGGACTCAAACGTAGTCTGGCTGTAGATATGAATATGTTGGGATCACAGTGAGGAAGTGTATGTTTGCATACAAGCAGCCTTTTTAAGTCCAGAGCCTTCTTCCTTTTTCCTCAAAGGTTCCATATTCTTCTGGCAACAAAGATCTTTTTATATCTCTGGGGTTTCATATACCCCCCAGCAGCCTATCATAGGAGAGCACAAATCTACTAAATAGTAAAATGAGGGATTACTTCCACTCATCTGTTGACAGACATTTCTCCAAATTGGATCAAATGATTAAAGGTATTAGAATGACGTCTTGCAGATCCAGATCAAATCATTTGAAACCTTGAGAGTGTTTCTCCTTTGCTTGGAAGAAACCACCAGAAATAGTTGTAGGTGCTAATTGCCCATTATTCTCACTAATGTGAAATTGTTAATTGGGACCTTTAAATATTTTACTCACTTGAATCCTAACCAGAGGTCTTCAAGATGGAAGGACTGTGCAGCGGCTTGCTTCCCGACGTGCCCTTCGGGATCTCTTCCGACGCCTGAATGGTTCTTCCTCGAGTTGCTTACGCTGAGAAGAGGGGTCCAGGCTGTGAAGTCTTCCAACATCTCCCACTACAAAGATGGCACTGCTGAAAGTCAAATTCAATCAGAAGAAACGGGTAAAGCTAGCGCAGGGACTATGGCTCATGAACTGGTTTTCAGTGTTTGCTGGAATCCTTGTTTTTAGCATGGGATTGTTCCTCAAAATTGAGCTCCGGAAGCGAAGCGAGGTGATGGACAATTCTGAAAGCCACTTTGTGCCCAATTCTTTGATATTGATGGGTATATTATCCTGCGCCTTCAATGGTTTTGCTGGAAAAATTTGTTACGACTCTCTGGATCCCGCTAAATTTGCCAAGTGGAAGCCTTTGCTGAAACCTTACCTGGCTCTGTGCTGCGTCTTTAACATGCTCCTTTTCTTCGTGGCTCTGATTTGCTTTCTGATGCGGGGCTCCCTGGAGAGCACGCTGGCCCAGGGGCTGAAGAACGGCATGAAGTTCTACCGGGACACGGACACCCCCGGGAGGTGCTTCATGAAGAAGACCATCGACATGCTCCAGATCGAGTTCAAGTGCTGCGGCAACAACGGCTACAAAGATTGGTTCGAAATCCAGTGGATCAGCAACAGATATCTGGACTTCAGCTCCAAAGAAGTGAAAGAGTAAGTGACTCGGTGGGGCTTGTGTCACGTAGTGTCGATGTTGGTCAGTGCCGGCCTCGAATGCCAACAGGGGCTGGCTGGAAGGGGGTCTGTGTAAAATGGGGTCTGGTGTAATAAATCGTCCCAAATGACAGCTGGATTGCTTCCTCCCCTGACAAATTCCTCTAAAGCCATCCATAACATAAAATAAAAATCACCAAACTACAGTTCCCACTCTTACTCAGGCAGGCTAAATAGTTTTTACTGTCTTCTATTGCTTTATAAACCCATTACCTTGAGCCACACTCCCAAAATCAACTGGAAAGTAGCAGAACTTTACTGATCCTTAAGCAGACGTCAATGTGATTGATTAATTTCCTAAAAAAAGAATTCCCTGGAGATGTACTGTTGATACTACTTTTAAAACTCCACTCAGATATTGGCAGCTAATCATGGATGGAAATAAATAGAGGCAAAAATGCTTTGCCAATAACTCTTGTCTTTTAGATCCCTAAGATTTAGAATTTTATTTTTACATTCACTCAATGGACTGCTTCAGTGCTGTGGTAACAGTGAGCATCAATTGATGTTCTTAACTTTACACAGTGGCCCTTGTAGCCATATGTATTTTAAGTTCTGTCCTGTGCCTAATTTTTTAAAACCTCACATGAAAGCAGCACTAGTTTATTGTTTCTGTACAAACCAGATCAGGTTGTTCACCAGAAACACCTTAATGGCTTTGATGTCAGTGCCCAAAGAGGCAGTAATCCTAAAATCAGGTTAGGTGCAGTAAGCTCAAGCAGAAAATAAGCATGAGAACAAAATGAACTTTTGAAATTAAAAAGTAGCATTAGGCATAAATACCCACAACCTTTAAAAAAAATTAAGCACCGGGGAAAGAAATGGTTATTCCGGGTTCTTGGGGAACATTGTTCATTGACGTTTATGCTCTGTGGTTGCATAATGGGTCCTGTAAACTGGAAGCAATCTGCCTTTTAAATATACTGCCTGTATTAAAAATGTCTGAAGTAATTTTGAAAAAAGCTTTGCGTATCTCTTGGGATCCCTGCCCGACTGTGTAAATGGTATTTATCTCGTGTGTGTCTCTCTGTGTGTTCCTTTGACTTGTTGGGTGGTCTGGTTGTTTTTGCAGTTCTGAATGAGGACTTTTTTTAGTGGAAACTGTTACAGATTTAACCCGTTGCACTGCAGGGTGTTATAACAAATACATTCGCTATTGGATAAGGGGATATTCCCATTGCAAAGGTATGCCCGTGGGTATAAATAACTACATGAAAAAACCTCGCCAGCATTATATGGAGATTTGAGAGCTGTAGCTTAATCCAGCAGCAGTGGAAGGGCAAGGCACAGGGGGAAAACGGGGTTATACTGTCCTTAATAACTCATGCCTTGTTTGGGACTGAGACTCAAGGTAATTTCTTTGTACTACTGAGGTGGGAACTAGGGCATTAAAAATCTACAAATGGGTTTTAGTGAGTTCAAGGTTTGTACTGTGTGGTGGTGCACAATCTCTGCTCCCATTCCTGGTGGGATAGTCTGGCCCCTTTGAAGCCAATGGTGAAGTTCTCCGTAGTTCCAAGGAAGGTGGGAGTCTGTCCCTCACAGTGGGATTTTTATATTATTTGTAGAGCAAAGGCCTGATCCAATATCCAATCTCTCTGAAACTGGTGGAGCATTTACACATGAATGGGAATTAGACCCAATCCAGAGCACACTTTACATTTAGAGAGAAAACCTCAGCTGCATTTGCTCTTTAGATATATTTAGGTCATGATTGCAAAGTGGAATTTCCCTTCACCAGGTTGTTGGAATCACCTCTCTCTCTATGACACAATTTAAAAATATCCATATAAGCTACAAGGGACAGTCAGATTTTTTTCGCCTCTCTACACCACTGGGACTCTCCATTCTGTGATTTTCTAAGCAAAATGGCCTGTTTTAAAACTGCAGTCCTTTTATTATAGTCTTTCTGCAGAGTCAGTGGAACTATTTGCCTTCCAAGTTATCTTGCATCCAAACATCTCCTAAGACCCCAGGCTAAATGACTGTTAACAGAGAACAACCAGAGTGCCAGATGAACAATAGCTGGGGGAGCTCCTGCAAGGACTTTGGAAATTTTGAAATTTTGCAACATCCTGTTGCTGAAGGACATTTCATGTTTTCAATACTGGCTACCTTCCCAAGCCAAGAATAAATGCACAACCCCTTCTTGGAGATATTATCATCAAAAAGAAGCTATTAGGTTTGCTGGATCAATAGATATAGTGGGTTCCAAGGCTATTCTGGGTTCTTTTCCAAGCTCAGATCAGCTCCAGCACCTCTCTTCCATCCTAACTATGCTGTGATTGCTCTTTTCTGACTGCCCTTCCTGAGTTCTCTCACCATTCACTTTTGTTAAAAATTAATTTCTTTGAAGAAGTGACCTGAGGGCGTGTGCATTTCCACCAGGAGGAGTTAATTACAGACTCAGTGTAGCCTTGACATAGAAAAGGAGAGAAAGGACAGACAGAGAGAGAGGACACCCTGGACAAACACCGCTACGTGAACAGGGGGACACGGAGAAAAGGCATGGTGGGAAATCCTCCTTGCCTTTGCTTTCTGTCCTCGTGCAGATTTGCTCCTGGATATCTTTCTCTGTGTGTCTGTGTGTATATCTGTGTGTGTGTCTGTGTGTGTGTGTGTCTGTGTGTATGTCTGTGTGTCTGTGTGTATGTCTGTGTCTGTGTGTGCACTCATGCTCCCTTCTGCCCTGGCCCGTAGCCGGATCAAAAGCAACGTGGACGGGCGGTACCTGGTGGACGGAGTCCCCTTCAGCTGCTGCAACCCCAGCTCCCCCAGGCCCTGCATCCAGTACCAGGTCACCAACAACTCTGCCCACTACAGCTATGACTACCAGACCGAGGAGCTCAACCTGTGGCGCCGCGGCTGCCGGGAAGCGCTGCTCAGCTACTACAGCAGCATGATGAGCTCCATGGGCGCCGTCATCCTCCTCGTGTGGCTCTTCGAGGTACCCCTTCCCCTCACACACACTGCAGTCCAGTGCCAGCCCTGCACGAGCAGGGGGGGGGGTTTTCTGAGTGAAAATCAAATCTGGTTAAAATAAATTTCCCCATTGTTTGGCTGAGAAAATGTCTGATAGCTGAGGTAAGGGCTGAAAGGTCCCGGGCTGGAAACAGAGGTGGAGAGGGTGTGGGATCAGACCCCTCTTAGCAGGGACCAGAGCCTCGAGTACCCCACAGCAAGAGGGGAAAAAGGGAGTGATCTTCTGTCCAAGGCAAGGCGCTGAGCAGGGAAGAGAGTGCAAGGGCTCTGCTGTCCAGATGCATTAATTTTACATGTGTCACCGTTTGTGGGAAACGAGGAATACCAAAAAGCAGCACGTCAGAAAGATGTGACAGTAATTAGAGGGACAGAAAATGCAGTTAAAGGGTTTACACCCTGAACAAAACAAGGCTTCAAGCCACACACAGTGGAAAGATTTCAAGGCAGCATGTGGATCTTCATCAGCTCCACCAAGGTATTTGATCAGAAAAAGTGGTTTAGGTGGAGCAAGTGGATTAAATTCATTTTATTCCGCTTCCCAAAACATGATGCAAATGCAAACAGGTGCCAGCACTGCCCAGGGCAGGTGTCTGTGGGCACCAAAGTGCAGCTTGGCTGATAAAATACTGTTCATCCAATGCAATGAATCCCCTGCCTCTGGGAGATGGCCTGTTCTCCAGCCAGGGTGTTTAATCAACACTAATGCCCGGGGAGCGTGGGCTGGCAGTGGCACGAGGGCTGGAACGTGAGGTGCTGCATGTGGAGATCAGGCAGGAGCTGCTGGCAAAAGGAAGGGTGCAGCTCCCTGGGGTGCAGCAGATCTTTTCCTATCCTTGGAATGGCTGCTGCAAATGGCATTGCCTATTTTAAATGATTCAGCTGCCTTTTAAAAAATTTAGATACATGCAAATTAAAAAAAGATGAGTTACATTTTGATACAAGCACTGGCCTACAGCCTTCCAGGAATGAAGATGCTTTTTAGAAAATAAACACCTACCTAAATCTGTGAACTGAAAAAAAAATCATGGAGTTACTCCATGTTGCGTTGTTTTAAAAATAACTGCTCCAAGCTGCAGAGAAATGTATTACCTCTTTGCACTGTTATTCTGCTAAGAAAAGAAAGAGAAGGTCTTTATTTTAGCCCAGATTCAAGTGCAGAGCTCTTGAAGGGAGGGGAATTTTAGCTGTGTTCAAAAGTCAAACAAATTCAAAAACTCAGGGGAAAAATGCACAAAAATACCAATGCCAGCTGCAGAAAATCATGACTAGGAACCTGTAACATAGCTCTGCTAACTTGCAAGAGATTAATGACAGTGATATGTTAACATTAATAACAGTGATAAAAATGCAGTATTTTACGCCTAACTCTTCAAAGTACACCTGGGTATTTTTTTTCAGCTGTGGCATAATGAGAAATAAGATCTTCTCTTCTTTTCCTTGTCTTTTTCAAAATTGAGGGTGAGACTTTTTTTCAGGCAATCAGAGGACTTGTAGGGCAAAACTTGAAAGAAACATCACGATCCTGGGTTACAATAACTTGCCCTCCTGAGTATTTATTACTTGCATGATATTCTACCATAAAGGGACCAGATTTGGGTTTCAAATTCCCTTTGAAGGGAGGAAGCAAAGCAGAAAACTGACATTAATTTAGCCTCCCTTGAAATATAACAACTTGCTTTAAATTCCAGTCAGGATAGGAAACAATTTTATGCTGAGTAGGAGGGCAGCAGAGGTTCCTACTCCTGGCCAAGGTAAGTGTGGGTCTGAGCAGGGTGAGCCCAGGGGCAGAGGTTGTGCTGGCTCTGTGCTCCTCATTTCCACTTTGACTGAATTCTGGGAAGGCACAGAAAAGTGGAAAAGCAAAATCCTGGGTTGCTTTACACCTGCAGCCACCATGGACTCAAACCAGGGGCTTCTCCAACAACGCCCTTCTGGGGGTCATGGACAACTCTTCCAGCTGGGTTGCTGGAATTGAGGTCTGGGAAGGGGGAGAGAACATGGAGGGGAAATACTAATGACAGCTGTTATTCTGAGCTGTAGAAAAAGGTAACATGCCAAACAGGCACAGGGACCTCAGGGAGGGCCATTTCTGTTTCACCTTTCTATGCTAGGCACAAGGAAGAACGAACCTATTTTGAAATATCAAAACTTCTGTCTGAAAAGAATGCTAATATCTAGAAGCTGCTCCTCCTAACAAAAGCTGTAGGCTTCCCATGTGTGACAACCAGTCATGAGGATGACAAAAAAAGATCACACCCTGCTCTGGCTAAGCCGCCTCAGGCTAAACCCTGGCAAGCAGATGGGCTCCGCTGCAGAAGGTCAACAAGAGCAAGCCTGGATGTCTTCTTGACCTGCCTCAGCCAGCAAAGGGGAGAAGAGGGGCTCAAGGGTGCCCTGAATAAGGCATTTCAAAAGGAATAGAGAGCTGAGGCTGGTTCCTGAGATACTCCAGGTCTTCCACTTGTGCAAACATGTGGAATCAATGGGTCCAGCTGCCACAGCAGCCGAGACCCTGGGATTCACCTCCCCTGTGCCGCAGACCGGGCCCAGGCTGAGCTCCAGGAGAGCACTGAGACATTCACAGGAGCATGTTGCATGTCCTGTGTTGGAGAGCAACCTCTCTGATGCACTAACAGTAGGAGTGGACCCTGGAGATCTCCCAAACCAGCCCACAGCCAGCAGGGACCCTCCAGAAGGACACAGTTTGCTCTGTTGGCCCAGCTGGAGAGGCTGCCCGTGCTGGGATGCAGGTCATCCACCAGCCCAGCCCTGCAGCCCTGGAGAAACACTGTGGCCATGTTCTTTCTGGCACTTTAAAGCTGCTGTGAAGTGACAAGAGTTTCCATGACAGGGAAATCATCCCTCAGCAGGACTGGCTTCTCTCCGGGGCTCTGACCCCGCAGCCTTCTGTGCTGGGTTGTGGTTAAGCTCAAACCTACAACTCACAGGCTGGGTAAAGCTGGAGGTTTAGCTGTGGGAAAAAGGATCACATTCCTCAACCTGCTGGCAATTATTCCTCTAATGCAGCCAAGGATCCCGTTTTCCCACTCTGCCACAAGGGCACATTGTTGGCTCAGGGACAGCTTGGTGTCACCCAGAGCCCCAGGGCCCTTTGCTGCCAAGCTGCTGTCAGCCAGTCACCCCCAGCACATACTGGTGCCTGGGGTTATGCCTTCCCTGGTGCAAGACTTCAGATAAACTGGGCGTCCCAGACTCTCTGTGATCAAATAGGAGAGAGACTGATTTACCAGACACCTGTCTCAAATTTCCTGGGCTCTCTTCTCATCTGGCAGAGAAGGCAGGCTCAGATCAGTGGGGGTGACAAGGAGACAGACATTTTGCATTGCTTTTAAGGGATCTCAACTTCAGGGACTCAAAACCTTGCTTAGAAAGGTTTTTAAGAAAACAGTCTTAAAATGAGAGAAAATACCACAAAACCTCTTCCAAGGACAGGTCAGATGCTCAGTGCTGGACAAGCACCTTCCTTTTTAAAAGCATGATAATATTTAGTGACCTAGAGCCATCCAGGAAGCCAGTCCACCTACCAGGCTGTCAAATAGTGGCACTTGTAAAGTCAATCACAATACAAAGCTCCTGATGACATGCAACAAGGCAGCACAAGTAAAGAGCTACATGGAGGCCATTTCCTGCACCCAGTTCTGTTAACCTGCACTTGCAACAGCCTTTGATTTCGAAGATATCAGCCCCATGAGTGAGAGCAGCAAAACTGGGACTCAGAGTGGAAGGGAGATGTCAAAGGCTTTAAATCCCAAGACTAACATGATGGGATTTGTCACTTGTCGTGACTTTTATAGAATAGTGCTTTAACTGATTTAAGTCATCATATTATTGGCTAGATGAGACTATTTTAGACTCAAAGCCACTAGAAACTTCCTTAGTGACCAAAGTGTGGCTAGTCATACATTCCTGTGTTAAGCAGTATCAACATTTGCCCTTGGATATGGAAGCATTGGATGAAACTTGTTTGTTTGACCAATCTTTTTCCCTTTCTGATCTTGAGTGAAGGCAGAGAAATGCGAACATCTGCAAAGGCTGAGAGTAGACAAGTTTAGCTTTAGTCTTCCAAGAGCTTGGAGACACTGATCATTTACAAGTAGGATGACCACAGCAGCCATGCTGATGGATGGTCCATGGAAGCACATGCTTGGGCAATGCCTCGAGCCCAAAAGCCAGATGGGTATTCTGCCTCTGGCCGTGCCATGTGGCTGCATCCCAACCTCAAATCTGCCAGCCTCTTCAGCCATCAGGGCTGAGGAGGACCAAAGGAGCTCCTTGGGAAACTGGATAGTGTGACAGAGGCATTGTACTTCCCTCAGAGAACAAATCCTGTGAGGTCCTGCCAGGAGTAGGTGTTCTCCAACTGAGCTTTACCCAGCACCTGAAGGACCAAACCCATCCTACTGCTGCCCCATCCCAACCACCAGCCCCACCACGTCAGCAGGCTGCCTCTTCTGGGAGCTGCTCTTCTGTCCTTCTCTGCTTCTCTCATCAATCACTTTCTTCACAAGCACCACAGGGGAGAGGTCAGATTGTTGTGAACGGTGTTAGAAGGCAGGAGACTGGCTGAAACCACACTTTCTCTCTGGAGGCAGGTGCAGGGTGTTGCCAGTGTCAGCAGGGTTACACAGTACACTAGAAAAAGTCTCAGTCAGGGCTGTTGGGACTAGGTAATATTTAATCAGAAATATAAAATTTGTTTTAGGTGGAACCAGGGAGGGGTCACCCACTGCCTTGGTTTCCTTATTTGCACATACCTATATTAAAACAAAATCAGAATCTGAACCAGACAAACTAATGGCTCAAATCCTAACTCTGCTCCATTCTGCAGAGACACTGATTCATTAATATCTCCTTGATCAGCTTAATATACTCACCAAGCATATTAAGGTCAATGCAAAGCCAAAATATTTAGCTAAAACTAAGCGGGTGGTGGCCAAGGACATCCAAACTGCCTTGTGGACACCCCGTGCACAGCAGCCAGGGATGCATTAAAGCCTCCTGGGAAGGCATCAACACTGGTGGGGCTTGTGGAGAGGCCCCTTGGGCACATGGCCCCTGGGAGCAGCATTCCAGGGTGCCCAGGGCAGGCACAGGGAGGGAGGGACAGCAGCATTCCAGGGTGCCCAGGGCAGGCTCAGGGAGGGTGGGATGGAGTGTCCAGGTCTGGCTGACGCTCTCTGCCTGTCCCGTTGCCCGGCACAGATGTCGGTGATGGTTGGCCTGCGCCTGCTGCACACCTCCCTGGAAAGCATTGCCAATCCTGAAGACCCCGAATGTGAGAGTGAAGGGTGGATCCTGGAGAACAGCCTGAAGGACACTTTCAAGTCCGCGCTGGAGAACTTGAAAAAGCTGGGTAAGTTCAACCAGGTGGAAGCAGGAGCCGAAGGGGCCGAAGGAGAGGAAGGCGGGAAGACGCCAGCCATCACAACAGTCAGCTGAGCTGCTTGCTGAGGTGGACTTTTTCTCAGAGAAAAATAACACAAACTGAGAATTGTGAACATATCTACATTTGAAAAGCTATGTATCAACCACCTGAATACACATTTCTACGCACGTTCGCTTTTGTACACGGGAGCATACAACATAGTGCACCTTGGGATAAAACACTTATCCACAATGTGAGTCCACCATATCCAGATGCTTTGGGGAATATGACCCCAACTAGGACTTGTAATATTCACATGTTCCCTTATCAGAGACAGTTAGTTTAAGGAAAAAAAAAAGAAAAAAAAAGATTGCTGGCATCACACGGTGATCCATTCCATCTTATTTTGAAATTAAAAGTGGAATTGGAAAAGTTAATTTTTTTTTTTTTGCTCAAGTTGTTTCATCAGCATACTTTCTGTACTTCAGCTTTTAAGGACAAACAGATTGGGTTTCTGGAGAGTAACATGATAGAATTCAGAGAGAGAAGGATTTCCAGAATTGTATATAACTTAGTATACAGGTATTTTGACAAACCTCTCATATGTGATTTTTGTTAATGTGCTAAGCAATGGTATTTTCTGCTGTATTTTTAAGACATACATAGAACAAGATGCAAACTTATGCTGAGAATTTATGTTCTAAGCAAAAATTGTAATTTAATGAAGCAGCCAAGCATCATAAAAACAACATTCAGGTAAGACTGAGGGGGGTTATTTCTCAGGGGTTTTTGCAGGCTGTATATCTTGAATGTATGTGTTGTAGACTTATGCTTCACCTTGTATTTAAATTCTTTGCAGAAGCTTAGAAGATTCATCTTTTAGTGGGTGGAATCCAGGCTATGAGCATGTGCCAGTTATGGTTACTCTGGACATTTTACAGAGTATGTCATCTCATAACTTGCTCCAGAATATTCAAGCCCAACTATTTTTAAGGCAAGAAAAAGACAAACCCAAATCCAGACCCAAATCCAGGCCAGTTAGAACTCATACTTTAAATGTTTTCCAGGGGCCTAGAAAGTGGACACCATTCATCCACAAGTACATCAAGTCTCACCCTTTCAGACCAGGGAAAACTGAGTTTAAATCAATCCCCAATGTGAAAATTTTACTTTATCAGTGATGGAGTACATTAAATCAAAGGGAAGGCATATTTTGCATATGCTGCATCCCTCCAAACATAATGTCATAGCTGGAGGATCCTGTTCTCAAGTTGGAATAAAGCATGGAAAGAGTTTACTGTGGCATGCAGCCTCTAATAAGGGAACAGAGCATCATCTTGAGTTTATTTTGCCAGATAATTTCAGCTAAAGGGAAGGAAACCCTAGAGAACAAGCCCCAGCCCCCTGCACCAAGGATTGCAGCCCCCTCAGTCCCTCCCTGCAAGCCAGGCACCACACTTTGACCCTGGCTGTGCAAACCCTCTGCTTCTCAGGGTGTACCAGGGAGAGGTTTCTCAGTGGGTCCCTTCTCCCTGGCTGGTGGCCAGCCCTCAAAGGGAGCAGTGTCTGCAGCTGTGTCACCACTGCACAGCCCCCAGCTTTCATTCTTAATCACTCGTGCACTTGCCCCAGCAGCACTCAGCTCCTCCAGCTCCTGCCCCAATTCCCTCTAGGATGGACAGACAGTTCAAGGCAGGACAAGTGGGACGTGTCCATGCATCACACCATAGTTTCCGTCTCAGTGCCCAGGCTGTTTCAGGCCACCTGCACGCAAGGCTTGATTTGACAGGTGTCTGTGGTGCCCTTTCACCTTCTCAAAGCTGGTCAAAGCTTTCAACTTTAGTTGTGGTCATGAATTTAGTTACAATAATGAATTAAAAAGTCACTCTCCTCTACTGTGCGTAAGACTAGGACAAGGGCACTGACAAAAGGCCAACTTGCTACTCACCACAGCCTATCGTCTCTTGCTCTGCTGAGGGACAGAACTGCACCAGCCAGAGCAGCTCCTCCCTGCTCAGCAGGACATCACTGGGGCCAGCTGCCCCTCTCAGCTGGCCATTAGAGAAGAGCAGGGTTGTGCATGGCACACAGTGTGGCCACATGTACCAGAGAAGAGCTTTCCAGAGGAGTCACATGTGGATAGGAGCTGTGATACAAGGAGTAATTACAGTCTCTCCTTGGGAGGCTTCAGCGAGCTGTGATCTATACCAGTTATTTGATAGACTGACTTGTCAAAGAGATCTAGATTTATTGCTGCCCTAGAAATCTGGCTTAGGCCACTAATTTAGACAGGACTCTCCATTTGTTCGTGGTCTCTGTTTTTATCAGATTGTTGCTAAAGCAACATAACAAATTTTCAAGCCATTCTTTCAATGCCACACTGGAGAAGCCAGTTCCCAGAGCAATGGTATCAGGCAGGTAAAGAGACCATCTGAGACAGGTTTATGAAGAACAGTACTGGAAACAGGGAACAAAGAGTATATGGGCTAATGCTGTCTAAAATAAAGCCTCCTGGTTGATGACGATCTTTGTGACATCATATGATTACCACAAGATTGTAATATGACTGCTTTGTACAATATTACATGTAATATATCACTTGTCCAATCTTACACATACTTTCTTGTGATACTGCAAATGCTGTTCTAGATAAAGATATTTATGCTGACTGCAAATGTAAATTTAGGTATTAAAATGTTATTGCAAGTAAAGATCTCTTTAAAGAAAATGTTTAAATATATATGATTTAATACAGATTTCTTTAATTTGCATTACTGCTGACTTTTTCCTTCTGATTTCATTTTTTGGATCTGTTTTACATGTTCCTATATGTGGGAAGGTTTTCCCCACCTCTATATAATGCTCTGAGAGAAAGCAAACCTTCCTCTTTTCACAGCTAAGTTCAGGATGTGCAAGCAGACCCCTAAATCACCGGTCTCCTACTAGAAACAAAATTTGCTGTGCTATTTTAATAGCATCCTCTTGTAGTAGACAGGAATTAGAACATCTTCACAGCCCTGAACGTGATGTTCTGGTCATGCTGAACCAGTGAAACCACTGGCATCCTCAGGGTCTTTGACAATCAGCTGGGTTTATAACCCCTTTTTCTCCCCCTGTTTAAATCTAACATGCAATGGACATTCAAAAGAACATTGTTCTTATTTTAAATTTAAGTCTAAAGCTCACAAAGTCAAATCTCCCTGCAGCAATCCGACGACTTCCAGAGCCGTGCCCTGATTTTCAAACTAATAAACTTCAGAAGGATGTGAACTTAATTCATGCAAACCAGGCCACTTCTTTTTTGGTACCTCCATATGGATTAGCAGCTTAAATCCAAGTACCCAGACCTCAGAGTCAGCCCAAGGCTTTGAAGCATCAACTCTGAAGAAATATCACTTTTAAAAGAATGACAAAATGTACATTATTTTACCAATGACATTTATTTGAAGGGACACAGAACATTGACTAAAGTGCTTTAAAGGAGGAAATATAAACAGCTTCCTTAAAGCTATTAGTTCCTAAGTAGCCTTAATACAATTGATAAGATTAGCCTCCATGCATTACATGGGCTTGGGCATTTGGTAATAGCACACAAACACAAGTGTGCAGCTTAGCAAAGAGCATGGGAATGCTTTATCGGGCTCACAGGCACCACAGGCCTCCTGGCTGATGGGCTGGGAAGATTTTCAAGGCTGATATAAAGAAAACAAAGCAAAACTGTTCCTGATTTACACCCAACTTGCTTGTTTCGTGAAAGAAGCCAACGCTGTTCTTAGCATAATCAATGGAAAAAGGGGACGGATCACAAATGCTTATTTAAAAAAAAAAAAGAAAGAGCATTATTAGAGATTAGTTAATTAAGAGATAAGGCCAGAAAAATAGAATGGAGCCATGTGATAACAGGCCCCTGTGGGGAAGGCACAGGCTTAGGCAAATTTATTTCTGGCAACAGCAATGCAGCTATCTCAAATCTGAAGTCATGCCTATGTGGACCCTTTTTTGATTTATATCAGACCTATAGTGTTGAGTGACTGACTGAAACACTGAAGTAGTAAAATACCTTTCTCAAAGCACCTGCATTTGCTGCTCCCATGTCATTTCACAGGTATTTCTGAATCCAAAGCACAGTTGTGAGGTGGGACAGCTGGAGGAAACCCTGGCCTGGAGCTCAGCTTTGCAGAGTCTCCATCACAGCCTCTGCAGCACCCTGCCCTGGGGGATACCCCTTTTTACAGTTCCTCCCTAACACTTGGGAGGGTTCCACAGAGGAAGGCTGAGCAGGATTCCCACCTCCCATCCCATCAGCTCCCCACAAAGCACATGCAAACAACTACTCCTGCCAGATTGTTTCTGCCCATAAACCACAAGGAAGTACATGTCCAGTTTGTTCTCACAGCTCTCCAGAGCAAAGGGTGGTGCAGGAATCAGAGGAACCAGTCCAACAGTGAAACCAGGACCAAAGGGCAGGTCTGCAGCCTGCCACCAGTCTGATGCACACCCCCTGCACCAGGCAGCCAAGCACCACATCCCCGGGCAAAACAGGGTCAAGCACTGCAAAGCAGAAGTGAGCAGACTTGGGCATGTGGAACTTGGAAAGGCACAACTGCAGCTGGACGGTGATGAAAGAAAGAGAGCAAAGCACTAAATCTCAGGCACAAAATTCCCCACACTGACTCCCTTGGTAATAGGGTGAAAATGTTTAATTCTAGTTAGACTTCTGTGGAGGGGGTGAAAAAAAATCCCCACAGAAGTCACTTGAAGTCTGTGATGATGCAGAATTTAACAGCAGCACCAAAGACATGCTGTCCTTCCCAGCTGGAGACACACAGAGCCCTCGCTCCAGCCAGGCAGCAATGTCAGGATACCCAGGCTGGAAGGAAATTCTGGCTGTGTTCATCAGTTCCAGGGCACACACAGTCCCCAAACACAAAGTTTTCCTCTTACAAATCACCTCCTGCCTTCCCAGCCACCCAGATAACCTGTCCAGAGGTGGCACAGCTCTGCCTTAGACAGATGGGTGTGAGTTTTCCCATTTACACACATGTGTTTTCTCCAGCAGGTTAAGGTTAAAAAT